TAGTATAGTAATTAATATAAATTAAGAGATATATTATAGAAGAAGTTAATTAAGGAATTAAAGTAGTATAATTAAAAGAAAAATATTAGCTAAAATAAAGTAATAGGAAAGAATAAGGTAATAGCTTAAAATTTTTTTTATATACTTTAAAAGTAAATTATTTTATATTATAAAGTTAATTTTATTTTACCTTATCTCGCTTATCTTTTAATCTTTTCTTAATTACTTAATTATACTACTATATAACTTTATACTATAACTTATAAGTTAGTATTCTAATATACTAATTAATCTATTAATCTTTATATAAATTATTCTTATAGTATATTTTATAGTAATAAACTATAATTAGTATACCAAATATATTAGTAATTATAAAATATTACTAATTATTATTAAATTATCTCTAGAGCCTAAAATAAGTCTATATTTATATTATATTAATTTTTATACTAATTATAATATTATAGGATAATAGCTATATTAATATAATATCTTAACTAGCCTTTTCTATTAGATCTATTTATACTACTACTTATAAGAGAAAAGTACTAACGGATCTATCTTAAAACTCAAATACTATAAAAGCATATAAGTATAATAAAGCTCTTATAAAAGACTCTATTTATACTAAGATTAAGAAAGTAAAGGCAGTAGATTAAGGTATAATTATAATAGTAAAATGCAAGGTAATAAGCTCGGTAGTATATAAGAGTACTTTACTATTAAGATAGCAGGAAATAGTATAGAAGTCTACTATAAATATTAAATTAAGGAGGTATTTTCAGAATATTCCTATACTAATCTTTATATTAATCTGGCTTTAGAAAATAATAAGAAAAGAATTAGAAAGCAGTTAAATAATTACTTAGCTATAATAAGTATAGTAACTTATATATAGCTTGAGATAATAGTAATTCGGTATAGGAAAATATTAAATATAATTCCGAGAATAATATATAGTTTAAGAAAATATAGAAAACTAAGGAAAAGTTTAATTAAGAGAAAGAAATTAAGCGAGTTTTAGAGAATAAAATAAAAGAAAAGACTAATAGTATATAAAAAGCTTTAGCTAAGATATATAATTTCTTTTTGGATTAGTATAAAGATTAGTATAAAACTAACTAAAATAGAAATATAAGTATATTAAGTTTATAATATAATAAGAAACTTAGTAAAAGAAGAAGAGATCCTTATTTTATAAGATTAGATTATTATATAATAGGTATAGATTTTACTTATTTTTATATTAATTACTAATTATTATATAATAACTATATTATACTTATTAGTCCTACTAAATTCTTTATATTAGGCAAAAAGGCTATTTAGAGAAACTTGACTAATTAGGTATAGGGAAATAATAAATGAATTAATTTTCCTAGTCCTATTACTTAGTAGCCAGAATCCGAGGCTAAGTTAAATACTACTAGCTTTTACTTTTTTACTAAATCTCGAAAAGGCCATAAAATAGTAATATTACTAGTATATACTAGAAAGAAGCTAAAGAATAGCTTATACTAATATATTTTCCTATCTAACTCTAAGTTATAGGTTATAGAAAATACTATAGCTATTTAATAATATTTGAGAAACTTCTTTAATAAAAGTAATAGTTAGCTAGGTATTATATCTTTAAGATACTAGGAGTTATAAATTATAAAGAAAATAATTATAATTATACTAATTTTTATACTAATCTTATTATTCTTTACTAGTATTAATAAAAATACTTAAAATCCTACTTCTTTTCTAATACTTTAAATATTTTACTATCTCTAAAGTCTTAGCTATTATTTAGGTCCTATTTTATAATACTATATAGTAAATACCTGAAAAGATTTATTTTACTTTAGTATTTATTACTAGAATTAAGAAAATATTAATTACTATAAGTAAGAGTTTTAGCTAGTATCTTTTTTATATATTTTAATACTATTATTAAAATATAAATAAGTTCCTAATATTATATAATTCTTTCTAATAATAATTCTTGTATTTATCTTAACTTACTAGCTATATATATTTCCCTAATATCTGAGTAATCTTATTAAAATTATCTAGTTCTTTTTCTACTAGCTATTTAATCTCCTTAACTAATATTAAACTATTAGGAATAGATATCTAATTTCAATATTTCTCCTAAAGCTTTTTAACTTTAGTTAAGATAAGCTAAATCTATCTTTTCTCCTAATTAGCCCTAATATACTTTATATAGTAATTCGGATAAAGTATAAAAGTAATAGTATAAAAAAATATATTATTAAACTTATAATAATATATATTAAAGATTTTCTACTCTTTCCGGATTTGAGTATAAAAGTCTTTATTATTTATATATATATTCTATTATATTATAATTAGTATTATTAATTCAAGTAATAAAGATTAGTATAAAGATTAGTATAAAAATTAGTATAAAAATTATTACTTATTAGTAATTTATTAAATACTCGAATTAAAACATCTATTATAAAAAGTACTTAATTAATAGTTATAGTATTTCCTTAAGTCTCAAGAATAGTTCTATAAAATAGTTTAAGAAAGATAGAAATTATCCGAAGCCTTTTCTAGTTTTCTGAACTAAGGTAATCTGATTTTAGATCTGCGAGATACTTCTTATAATAAGTATTAAGATAAGTATATTACTAAAGAATAATATTAAGTATTATATACTAGCTATTCTATTATATCTGATTATTAAGAGAAATTATTCTTCTAGTAAGAGCTTTAAATCTAGTAATCTGACTAGGAAAGTAACGAATATATATAATAATATTATAAAGCTAGCCTAATAGTTCTAAAAGTCGAAATTTCATTTGTTTTTCCTTATTACTTAATAAGGCTTCTAAATTTCCCAAGTTCTTTTACTTATTAAGTACTTCTAATTCTTTATTTATAAAAATATTATAAAATAAAAAGGCTTATATAGAAAGATTAATAATATATCCTAAATAATAAATCTGCTATTATAAAATATCCTATTCTAATTCTTCTTTCCTTAGTAAATAAGCCTAAATAGCTTAATATAATATACTATTTATACTAGTATTATTACTAATAATAGCTCCAAGTTATTTAATAATATTATAGTCTTAAAGTATAGGTTATAAAACCGTAAATTAGTCTTCTCCTAAATAACTTAATATTATATAAAGAGCTAGAAGGGCCTTTATATAATTCTTATCTTATTATTTAATAAAATATATAATAATACCTAAAAGAAAATATCCTTATAGAAAAGTTCAGATATTAAGAATAAAATAAATACTTAAAACTATAAACTAGAGTTTTCATTATATAATATTCTTTAAGCTAACCTAATACTTCCCAAGCTTTTTTCTTATATAAGAATAAGTTATAGAAAGAAAGAGCTAAGATTCTGGATTAAGTATTTAATAAAAGATATAAAATTCGGGCTATTTAATTACTTAAAAAGATAGATTATAGATAATAATTAATAAAATTAAAGCTTTATAAATTACTACCTAATTAAGGTATTATTAAAAGATATATATATTAAGTTTAGTTATTTAGCCAAATAACTTTACTTATAAGTAAAGCTATTATAGCTAGTTAATTACTTTTAATTAAAGTAGACTAATTTCCGATCTGCTCTTAATAGTAATATTATATACTAACTTGAGATAATTATATTAATTAGTAGAGACTAAAGTCAAATAAATATTTAGTAGATTTTTCTTTTTATAAGAAAGATAATAGTAGTATTTAGGTAATTCTTTTATATCTAGATACCCGAGATAAGTATAAGCCTAAATAGCTCTTATAAGTTCTCCCTATTTAGAATTAGATTTGGATTAAATCAAGTCTATATTAGTAGAGGCTTAATAGATTAATAAGGCAGATTCAGAAGCTATATTTAAATAATAGAAGATAAAGTACTATTATATATTAAAGAGAGAATAAAAGAAAGTATGAAAATTTTAATCTTTTTTAGAAGAAATAGTAATATAAATCTTAGTATTATATATTAAATACTAGCTAGTCTATATTATATAATAGACTATTAAATAGAAAGTATAATAATATATATATAATAGTCTACTTTTATACTAATCTTTATACTAATTAGTTTATAATTAAACTAGAAAGCGAGATATTCATATAATAGGACTTGCTTAATAGCTAGCTAGGCCTACTTTTATTAATAATTATCGAGGCAATAGGGCTCGCTTAAGGGCTGGCTAGGCCCACTTTTATTAATAATTATCGAGGCAATAGGACTCGCTTAAGGGCTGGCTAGGCCCACTTTTATTAATAATTATTAAGGTAATAGGGCTCGCTTAAGGGCTAGCTGGGCCCACTTTTATTAATGGAATTATTAATAACTGGATTAGATACTAGCTAGTCTATATTATATAATAGACTATTAAATAAAAAGTTAAAAAATCTAATAGTATAGTAATAATAGTATATTTTTATACTAATTTTAATACTAATTAGTTTATAATTAAACTAGAAAGCCGTAATAGGGCTCGTTTAATAGCTGGGCCCACTTTTATTAATAATTATTGAGGTAATAGAGCTCGCTTAATGACTAGCTGGGCTCACTTTTATTAATGATTATTAAGGTAATGGGGCTCGCTTAATGGCTGGCTGGGCCCACTTTTATTAATGGAATTATTAATAACTGGATTAGATACTAGCTAGTCTATATTATATAATAGACTATTAAATAAAAAGTTAAAAAGTCTAATAGTATAGTAATAATAGTATACTTTTATACTAATCTTAATACTAATCGGTTTATAATTGAACTAAAAAGCCGTAATAGGGCTCGTTTAATAGCTGGGCCCACTTTTATTAACGATAATTATCGATATTAATCATTTATTAATCGCTTAGCCGATAACAATTACTAATCGATAATCCCGATCGATAATTTATCGGAGCCCACACTGATATAACCGGCTGTGGCTATGACGTTCTGCTGCAGCGTCGGCATTGTATTCACTCCAAATTGAACATTGGCGATTACTCTCAAACTCTACTTAAGTTTTTATCTTCCTATGTACATCCTCTCGCGACCTCGTCACCTCGACGAGCCTTGCTAGATATATAGCATCGATTGGATCTCCGTATTAGCGCAACATCCACAAAATCCGTCAATTATCGACTCAACGACTCATTAACACTTTTTTTTCGGGTTCTCGAACACAAGTGCAAATCATGGATCTAGTGCATGGCACATGCGCTGAGAAGTTTGGATCGCTACAGAAACTGCTGCTTCAATTCATCGAGTCAGGTGAAGAACTTGGAGGATCTATCACAGTGAACATCGACGGCCAGAATGTAGTCGACATCTGGGGAGGTTATTTCGATGAAGGCCGCACTCAGCTTTGGGAGAGAGACACAATTACAAATGTCTTTTCAACGACAAAGACTGTGACAGCGCTTGCAGGACTCATGCTGGTTGACCGAGGATTGCTAGACTTGAACGCCAAAGTCTCTCAGTATTGGCCCGAGTTTAATCAGAGCGGGAAAGGGGACATCGAAATTCGCCATGTGCTAACTCACAACACCGGTCTTCCAGGCTGGGAGCAGCCAGTTTCCCTGGAAGATGTGTGCGACTTTAAAAAAGCTACCACGATGCTTGCAACACAAGCCCCATGGTGGAAGCCAGGAACTGCTTCTGGCTACCAATCTTTTACTATGGGGCACCTCGTCGGGGAACTCGTATTCCGAGTCACAGGGAAGACGTTGAAGAAATTTGTTGCGGACGAGATAGCCGTACCGCTCAAGGCTGATTTCCAAATTGGCGTTTCGGATGCAGATTTGCACCGTGTATCGGATGTAGTACCGCCAAAAGCAGACGAAGTCCATTTACAGCCAGGTTCTGTCCAATACAAGGTGTTGAAAAACCCCAAATTCCATTCTAGTTCTGCCAACAGCAAATTATGGAGGGAAGCGGATCTCGGCGGGGCAAATGGTCATGGCAATGCGCGGTCGATCGCACGGATACTCTCCGCCATATCGCTAGGGGGTAGGGTGGACGGCCATGAGGTTCTCTCTCCGACAATTATTAACACTGTGGTGGAGGAACAGTCAATGGGTCAGGATATGGTGATAGCAGCACCCGTCAGATTCGGCATGGGTTTTGGCCTTACTGGGAAAGACACTTTTGTGGATTGGCTTCCCACTGGCCGTATTTGCTTCTGGGGTGGTTTCGGCGGATCGATTATTATCATGGATCTTGATCGGCGCCTGACAATATGCTATGTTATGAACAAACTTGATAACGTGGGACTGGGCTCAAACCGAGCGAGGGCTTACGTTAAAGCAATTTACCAGGGGCTCGGAATTTGTCTTAATTGTTAATAGCCTAAATGAACCACTGAAGCAATGAGCCGCATGGTTGAGTGTGTTACAATTTCACTATCGTTTATGTTATACAAAGTGTGCGTCCATTACAAATGCTGTGTGATATACAGCCTTAAAATTCCCAGTCAGGTCGTATCGTACATCTTTCTGTGCATCTTCCTCATCCTCGTCTTCACTAATGACTTAGTCTTCTCTAAGTAAGCCCCAACCAACTCCTTGAGAACATTACTGCGACCATTGCCTTTGGTGCAAGTGCACTGCGTCTCTTTGTCAAGATCTCACCTGCTATAGAAAAGACTGGCTCAGATGGCACGCTGATAGCTAATATTGTACCACATTCTCTCGCCAACCAAGACAGGATTAGATAGAACGTCTGAACGCTTTTCCGGTGCTTATTCGACGTCTGCTCTATCTTCAGCTTTGAGAGAACCTTATTATGTACTGTTGACCATCTTCTCAAAATCGGACAGCCTGGTTCTGCCAGGATGGTCAAGTCTTGCGTGGAGTCGTTGACTTCTCGTGAACCTTGGGTTCGTACTTGCCTTACCGAGTTGTGGATCTACCCTCCTCTCGAATCTTAACTCTGTAAAAATTGTTTTTCTTCGCTGGGTCAAGGAAGTGCTCTGCCTTCCTATCCTCAAGACGCGATGCCATTCTAGGGACCCTTCATCTCCTCCATTCGTATTGAATTGACCAAGTGACATCAGATTCGAATTAATCCCTTGTATATAATAGACGTCGCGCAAGATTGATGTCCTAGCAACTCCATGATATAGCCAAGAGACCCTCACATCTCCACTGGACTTAGAATCCTCGATACGAAGGCGACGGGCGAAAAAAACCGTCCAAATCCCTTAAGCGAGAATTTGCGCAATCTTAGCCTTGCGATAAAAAATTTGTCGTAATTGTAACTTAAATTTAATTCCAGCAAAATTATTATAAAAGATAGATCTGCTTCTTCTCTATTGCACAAATTAAAAAGTAAAGAGTTTAGACGTTGTGTTGAACCTTAGTGTGATTTTCCACAGGTAGCGATTTTGGTATTCCTCGCGATTTGGCAGGTGGCCGGTTTTTTTCGCCCGTCGCCTTCGTATTACCATTTGCCGCTGTAATTAGATATTAAAATAATGCTGGGGGTTCGAAAGGAAGCAAGGTTTTTTCTTTCTTAAACACGTTATATTTCTATTAAGAGGCTGGGCTCCTAAAAAAAAAAAAAAGAAATTGGGGGAAACGATTCCAAGCCGAGTTTCTGTCTTCGAAAGTCGACCGGAAAATCGACCGGAAATGTTACCGACTGCGCCAGAAGAGCGCTCTATACGCAGCAAATGAGCTGCAACACGGGGGTTTATTCAAGTCATTTCAAGTCAATATTCATAGAAGTATCTCTGAGAGTGAAGCAATCTAGAATTCACTCCTACCCAAGTATCACCCAAACCCAGAACTCCATTTTCCAAGCGTCACAGGTCCAAATATCTCACAACCTCACTCCCTGCAATTCTTCCGAAAACGTAACACTCCAACAAACTACTCCCACCCAGTCGATTCCCACCATGCACACCACCCGCCACCTCACCCGCAGCCCAAACACCTTCTATCTTCTCCCCACTCGCATCCAAAACCTCAGACTTCTCATTGATAACAACGCCACCCATCGTAAAATGTACAGCTGGCGTAACTCTTCCCACATAAACTACACTCCCACCCGAAACTTCATCAGGCTTAAGCTCCCAGTGCCCGAAATACGTCCTCCCAAGCTTATCCTCCTCCTCTCCCGCCGACGCAAGACAATATTGCTTCACGGTCCTCAAGGCCTCTTCTCCGAGTTCCGAGAGCGCGCATTTGTGCATAAGTCCTTTGAATATGTAGAAGTCCATATGTGAGCTCGCGTTTTTGTAAACCCCTTCATCAAGCACAAGCTGGACGTCCCACTGCTTTGGAGTCTCTTCACCAAGCGGTAAAGCCGTAACAGCATCGGTAACGACCTTCCTCGTCTGCATCTCGTTCACAAACCTTCTTCCCTTATCACTCAATAGCAAGCCCCCTTCCCCTCTCAACAGTTCCGCAGCTAAGAACTTCACTGGGCTCAAGAGATCCTTTGGATCCACGAATGCCGTGGGATGGACTTGTACTTCTGCCATATCGAGGAGTTGGGCTCCGATTTCCGTCAAAAGGGGTTGGGAACCCGGCCGAGCGTCGTTGGTAGATGGGTATCCGGCGAGATCAGGGCGGTATGTTGCGAGCAAGCCGTTCGCGTCGCCTGCAAATCCTCCAGTAGCGACGATGACCGGCCCTCTTAGTTCCTTCTTCTCGCCATCTTCACACACAAATTCCACACGATCAACTTTTCCACCCTCTTTCAAGATCCTGGTAACCACGCAGCCGGTTTGTATGGTAAATAAAGGAGAAGTCTTCAGCTCCTTGACCAAAGTAGAGACGATGGAGAATCCTGGTGGTGTTTTTCCTGCCCCGCGATGCGTCCTCGGAAAACTGTGACCCCCGAGTTGCGCAACAAGTCTCAAATCCACGCCCTTCTTCACCAACCAGTCAATACACCCACTTGACTCATTAACCAGTTTTCCCACCAGCTTTTCCCTCCTTCTGTCCTCCCCTGATGACGAGGAAAATGCAACGCCAGAAGAGGTGATGGTGTCAGAATAGAAGAAGAGGTCGGAGAACGGAGGCCCGGGTTGAAATTTTGTTGGTGCGCCGTTGATGCCGGATGAGGCTTTGATGCTATTCCCGCCGGGTTTGGGGGAGCGCTCGAGAAGCGTGACGTGAATTTCTTTTGCCACGAGCGTCGAAGCTGCTGACAAGCCTGCAAGTCCGGAGCCGACGATGATGGCTATTTTTGCTTCTGATGACATTTTGGCTTTGCTTTTTGTTTGAAAGGAAAAGGATGGTGGGGATGAGGTGAAGTTGAGCTGCCGCAAGAGGATGGATGAGAGGGCGATGAAGAGGGAGATGCAGATGAGCGTGAGAATTTTTCTTCGAGACATTGAAGCTCAGAAGAGGGGGTGGCAGAAGCATTTATATACCTGCATAACTTCTATCGTCTCACATAGAAGCCGTGGAGGAACCGTGGTGGGTATTTACTCGTGGCACGAGAAAATCAGGTGATGCTTGAGCAATCAGGTGATTTCATTGTCATGGTCGCGTGTTCAGAACGTGACCAAACTGCCAGGGCTAATTAAGCCTGAACCCCCCAAAAAATACGGTCCCAACCCATTCTGCGCTAAGCCCCTCGCGCCCTTGCTCCCTCACCAAACCGGCCGCCCGCGCAATTCCCCCTCCCGCCTCGCGCCTTGCACCCACCCCAAAAATTATTATACGAGCCTAAAAAATTTAGATTCTGAAAGCACGCATGCAGTTTCACAATTCTAGAATCAAAAATTAGTCAAAACGGCCTGTGAAGGCGGTCAAAAAGTGCTTCTTTTTCGCGCGTATGTTACGCTAGCGAATAGCGCTCGAGAGCAAGGGCTTTAGGGTACTAAGCGAGCCCTAAAGCAGGCACTATATTCTTTAAAGAATACTCAGGCGCTTCTACCACCATGTTGTAAGCCTCTCTCTCAGATCCATTTTCTATTCTTGTCGTTGACCCACGTCGCATGATATATCTGGCGAGACATGGCTGATTTGGCTGCTTCGACCCGCTCTGTTGTGTTCCGAGTTACAGGGCTCCCGGTCGGCAAGGCTGAGGAAATCGTCACCTCGTTGACGGCGATCATCAACCAACGCCTCTCACCATCGGAGTTGTTGCAAATAGAGTACACCGTCTTTCCGATACCCTCATGCGACAATATACATACGTCTTCGGCATTGGTTGATTTCAAAAATGGTATTCCACTATTCCTCAGCCACCTCGTCAAGCAACCTTTGGAAGATCATCCAGTCGAGACAGACCATGGAGACATCAATTTTGATAGGCACTTCTTTGGTTTTACACAACTCTATTACCCAGACCTAGCATGCCCAATTGACGCAGAGCAAGTCCTACGAAATTTCGTGATTCCGCCAATCGCTAACCTCTTTCATCTAGTGTCATTGCGATCACTGGCATCGATGGGCATGCATACGGTTCGTGGAGAGGAAAAGGACAGCTGGGTCGAATGTGGCTACGGGACTTTCTATCGAAGGACCTGCCTACTTGTCGTACAATGATATACGGTTATAACTCGAAGCTTTCGAGTCGGGGTATCGACAAGATTATGACATATGGCATGGAGTTCATAGAAGCGTTGAAGCAAATCAGGAATACCCCGGAGGTAAGATGCATCGCGTCAGTATAGTAGAACTGGCTAATATTGTCGTTTGCCAGCTCCAGCGGAGGCCGATAATCTTCATAGCCCACAGCTTTGGAGGCATCATTCTAGCGCACGTAAGTCCCTGCCTGAACTTGTAAGATTCAATTAATTAACTTACTGGATACAGTGTCTGGTGACGGCGAAGCAAGCCGACGAAGAAGATCACCCAGCTATTGCAACACTTCACAAGGCAACTTACGGCATACTGTTCTTTGCAACTCCTCACAAAGGCCTGGTGATCGACGATATTCAGACCATGCTAGCGGGAACAGAAAACCATCCCCGGAATACGCTACTGCAACAGATCAACCTCAAGTCCGACCTCTTGATCTCTCAATTGGGTGATTTCAAGAACTTGATTCGTGACCGAAAGATCGTTAGCTTCTTTGAGACGGAACAAACTCAAAGATTAGAATGGGCAAGGAGCTCCTAACCGGAAAGAGAGGAATGAATGCTTATGGATGCCACAGGACCTAACAACTCAATCATGGGGACGAACTGGGAGCTATATCACTGCCGTTGATATGAACTCTGCCATTTTGGAGCTGCCGAGCCAGATGGAAACACCAATCCCTTTGCATTCCGACCATTCAAAAATTATTAAGTTTGAAAGCAGGAATGCACTAGGATACAAGTTTGCGTTGGAGAAATTAAATGGTTTCGTGGCGGATGCACCCAAGGTTGTTTTGGAACGATTCTCGACAAAGAAGAGGAAGCATCCCGCTGATGATGCAGATGGCCATCCGAAGAGGGCTCAATCATTTGTTGAAGACAGCCCAGATGAGAACAATCAGAGAGCTACAGGTTAGAAAATTCTCAATATCTCCCACCTCAGATGTCTCCTGACATAGTCCACTTCGAGATTGTTAATTTCAATCTAGCTCGGAGTTTACGTCAGACTGTGGACATGTATCTTGAGAGCATTGCACTTCCATCGACTTTCATTGCCAAAATAGATGCTCCACAACGCCAAGCTACGGTTGCCGCGCGTTCCAATATACGCCCATCTCTGGATTGGTTCTTCGACAGCCCGGAATTCAGTACCTGGATCTCTGGAGAGTCATCCTCATTTCTGTGGTGCTCAGGGATACCGAAGTCAGGGAAAACCGTATTGTCGTGTTGTCTGAAGAACTACCTGAGCGTCAGGGAAGCTCATATGCGTCGACGAGAAATCATTTCAATATTCTGTGCTTCGGTTAGAGAACAAATGGGATCGATTGAGATAGAGCGTATCCTTGGCTACATTGCAAGCCAACTCCTACGGAACAATAACAATAGATTACAGACTGTGTCTCAACAACATCCTCTACGAGACTGGCTCCCCGCATGCATACCTCTACCCTTTGAGGGAGACTTTTTAAAAAGCTTATGGGGCTTGATCTGGGATTCGATGACCGCCAGTTCTAACTGCGAGATTATTTTGATTCTTGATGCTGTCAATGAGATCAGACCTCAGGAGGCGAGAGAAGCGTTTCTCAGTAACATAGTCACACACTTTAACCGTGCAAGGTCAGAGAAACATATTACGATAAAAGTTTTCGTTACCTCACTTCCGTTCGGGGATATTCAGAAGGCTTTCAAAGACCTACCGAGCATAGAGAAAGACAAAGAACGACAAGGTTATACTCCCAAACTGATTTGATACGAAGAAATTTCAGTTGACATCATAGCAGCCTGTCTGAGGACGCTCCGCTGTGAGGAGTATAATGCCCGTCAGAATCGTATTGAGACAGCAGAGGAAAATACTGGCGATTGGATCTTATCTCACCGCGCCTTCGAAACTTGGGATAAGAGTCCGAACTCGAGCTTGTTATGGCTACACGGAAAGCCTGGAAGTGGAAAGTCCACGCTGGTAAAGCGAGTTGTCTCAAAGATGAAGTCGATGCAAGCGAAGCGTCGCAATATATCTCATTCAAACTATGAGAAGACGACACGTGAAGTAGACACGGAATACGTCGACCAATTAGCCACTGACCACAATATCATCGTTGCTTCTTTCTTCTATAGTTTTAGGGGCGGGAAGAATGAGACTAGCCATACACTGATGCTCCGATCACTGCTATATCAAATTCTTAAAGACAACAGCAAGCTTTTCCCTCTTTTTCAATCGAAATACAGAGAATTGCCGAAGAGTGAGGGCAGTCCAGAATGGTCTTATGAAACCTTGAAAGAGGTATTCCTATCACTTTACAATTGTCAAACTCCACTCCAAATTTACATCGTTATTGACGCTATGGACGAGTCTGATGAAGACCAGAGACCGGAAATACTCAAATTTCTCTTACGGCTATTCTCATCAAAGTCCCTATGCAAATTCAAAGGCTTGATTGCTAGCAGACCCCACGATGATATTTGGAGGTTCCTGAATAAATGTGGTCGTATCATTCTTCAAAATGAAAATCGTCGAGACATCGAAACAGTTATTATCAAAGGTTTAAAGAAGCTCTCGGAGAATAATGGCATTCCTCAAGAAAGGCTGAACAGAGCGCGCGTTTACTTGATCGAACATTGCGACGGTGTATTTCTCTGGGTGTCTATAGTTTTGAGAGAGTTGGACGAACTGGTTCGCACTGGGTTCAGTGGCGACAGCCTCATGGAAGTGCTCGAGAGCCTTCCATCCGACCTTGTGGAATTGTACAAACACATTGTCGACCAGCTAAAGAATGGGCCCGACAAAATCAAAAAAAGGGGCCAAAAAATGCTAGTTTGGACGGCTTTTGCAGAACGACCTATGGCAATTGAGGAACTCGGAGATGCAGTAATAATACCATCGGATCGTGAGTCATTCACTCCCAGAGATCATTTCATTTCAGAAGCTCGGATATCTCCTTTCGACCGACTAATTGGAAATTGTTGTGGACTGTTGGAGGTAATTAATACTCTGACCGTACTCATAGAAAGTTTAACTAATTTCCAAGCAGATCCGACCTGGGAATACAGTTCAACTTCTACATCAAACGACAAGAGATTTCATTCTCGACAAGTCACGTGTCGCTGAGCCGTTTGATACCAACGAGTTGCAAGGAGACACGGAAATTGCAATTGTATGTCTGAGATACTTGGAACTGATATTGCAGTCTGGAGGAGGCCTTGAACGAAACGAGATGCACGAGATGCACGAGATGCAAGAGACGCAGGCCTTTGTTAACGAATTGTCCGATCGACCATTGCTCGACTATACCCTTGCTTGTCTTCCAAAACACCTCGGCTACTTGAGACAAAACCATGGCGTACCGAAGCTCGTTGAGGACGAATTGACGAGACTCATTGAGACCTTACAGAAGAGTCCACAATCGCAGGCTTTTAACCTGCTAGAGCGATGGTGCGAAAAGGATCTCGGCCGTTGCATCAGACCCAAAATAGATCTAGCATTCGCGAGGCGGTCGAGAAATGCGATGCTGTTCGCTGCAGCAAGAGAAGGACATGTGAGCGTCGTGACATCGTTACTTGCAGCCCACACTGGAATTAACGGCTTGTGGGGTGGTCTCTCTCCGGTAGGAGCAGCAGCATCTCAAGGCCACGAGGCTGTTGTCAAGCTGCTACTCGAGAAGGGCGCCACGGTCGAGGCGGGGGACAACTATGGACAGGTAGTGCTGCATATGGCAGCTACGGGAGGGTATGAGGCTATTGTACGGCTGCTGCTGGAGAAGGGAGCAAATGTCGAGGCGAAGGACGACTATAGACAGACGGCGCTGCACCTGGCAGCTAGAGGAGGGCACGAGGCTATTGTATGGCTATTGCTAGAGAAAGGGACGGACATCGAGGCGAAGCACAACTATGGACAGACGGCGCTGCACATGGCAGCTAGAGGAGGGCACGAGGCTGTCGTACGGCTATTGCTAGAGAAAGGGACGGACATCGAGGCGAAGCACAACTATGGACAGACAGCGCTACACATGGCAGCTAGAGGAGGGCACGAGGCTGTCGTACGGCTACTACTAGAGAAGGGGGCGGACATCAAGGCGAAGGATAACTATGGACAGACGGCGCTGCATATGGCGGCTAGAGGAGGGCACGAGGCTATTATACAGCTACTACTAGAGAAGGGGGCGGATATTAAGGCAAATGATAACTATGGACAGACGGTGCTGCATATAGCGGCTAGGGAAGGGTACGAAGCTATTATATGGCTATTACTAGAAAAGGGGGCAGACATTGAGGCAAAGGATGAATATAAACAGATAGCGCTGCATATGGCAGCTAGAGAAGGGCACAAGGCTATTATACGGCTATTACTAGAGAAGGGGGCAGATGTCGAGGCAAAAGACAATTATAAATAAATAGTACTATATATAATAGCTATAAAAGGGCACGAGGCTATTATATGGCTATTTACTTCTCTTAATTTAAATTTCTAGTTATGTCTTTATATTTTATATCTTTATTCTTTTTACTTATTATTATAATTTAATTAATTAATTAGAAAATATTTTATATACTATAGAAAACTATTTATATTTCCTATATATTATAATAGAAAGTTTACTAAAAAAAAATCTAAAGAAATTATATTGGGGAGATTTTAGGCTTTATATTTTATTATATTAATTATAGTAAAATATATAAGAATAAAAAATTTCTAATTACAATTACTAGAAAATATAGCCTATATAAATAATATTAATATAAAAATAACTATTATAGTTTTATTTATTTTATAATATAATTTTAGAAAAAAATATATTCTTAATTAAAAAATAAGATATATTTATAAATTACTTAGTTATAACTAGTAATTTAAAATAAAAACAAAAATAAAAAATACTATATTTTAATTAGTATTTTTTTTTAAATAAAACTAGTAAAATAGAATTAAAATATTAAAATATTTAATACTTTAGTTAATTATAATAACTACGGAGGTACAGCCCATAAGTTTTACTATAGCACTAGCAGGGGTCTAATCTTCAAACCCTTATAACGCAAGCACGAGGTGCTATAAAAAACAAGAAAAAGAGATAATACAATCGTATACGTATATGCGATAATAATCGAGTTTACTAGACTCTTTTATGTCGTGTTTTGAAAGAGTTATAAGGGTGCGAATTTCAGCGACCCCCTATTAATTTGGTTGCTATGGTAAAACTTATGGGCTGTACCTCCGTAAAATGATTAATACCTAATTTCGCTTTATTTCTAAGGCTTTTACTAAATAATTATAAGAATTATAGCTTTATATAACTTGTTATAAATTAATTTAGGCTATTTATATTTATATTTTAATTATTAATAATTTCAAATATTATTAAAATAAGCTTTTAATTTCTTAATTTTCTTTTTTATTATATATTTTCTCTTTATATTTTTTATATATTATTTAAGCTCTAGAAATAAGTTTTATAATAAGTACTCGAGTATTTTTAAAATAATAAATTTAAGCTTTTAATTTAATAATATAATAATAAGTTATTACTATTTTCTTAATTGGTTTTAATAAAATTTATATTTAATTTTCTTTTTCTAATTAAATAACTTTAAAAGTATTTAATTAAGCATTTCTTTAAATATTTAATTAAATAAATCTAGTAATAATAAAAGCGCCTTTCTAATTAATACTTTAATTATTAGTATTTAATTTTTAATTATTTAATTACCTCGTAATAAATTGCTTTTTAAAAGTTAAATTAATTAAAATATAAAGTATATAATAATAAAATAATATATAAGAAATTAAAATAAGCAAATTATAAAGTAATATTTATAAATATAACTAATTTCAAGAAGCAATTCTAATAAAAAACTAATTGAAACTTGTTTTTAAAGCTATATATATTTCCTTATATATTCTCTAATATTTAGCTAAAATATATAAAATCCTTTATTTAATTAGAAAATATAATTCCGCGTAATCTATATAATTTTAATATAAGTATTACCCAAAATAAGAAATCAAATTCACGATACCTGACGTTTACTTATACTCTATTATATATACTTATTATAATAGCTTATTATAATATATAAAGAGCTCTTTAAAAGGCAGCTTCTTATAATAATAATAATTAGCTTATTTTAGTATATTATCTAGTTTTATATACTTGCTATAGTAGTTACAGGCCTTAGCTTAATTTTAGTATAATTGCACATCTAATTTCAAGTGGTTTGGGTTTTTTGGTGTTTTGGTGCTCGAGTGCTCGATTACTCGAGTGCTTTGGTGTTTTGACCCTTCACCGCCTAAAATCCTGCCCTAGCCGGGATCGACTCAGGAAATCCGCGGTTTGGTATATACGCGAGTCATGTCATGTCCTCTTCACGGGAATCTTTCCCTCGCTTCAAACATCAAACGAAGGCAGCTTCACACATCACACCTAAATTTTCCGACGCTCATCTCTGCAATTCGCTCGTCCCCATACCTGCTCGCTGGTCTTCATTTTATTAACACCACAGACAAGGCATGGACGTTAAGATGCCGATCAGCTCATCAGATTACGCATCATCTGCTCGTCAGTTGTGGGCGCCGCGAGGCTATCGAAGACCGTTCAGGGGGCGCTTACTGCGATCTCTGTGAGATCTAAGCCAGGACATTCAATAGCGGGATCTTTATATCTGTATGGTGTGCACAGGTGTCGATCTTTGTGAGGCTTGTGAGGGATGCCTTGTAAAACGGGGTAGGAGTGGAAGGGATGGAAGGGATGGAAGTGGTATTGTGGTGAGGGTCATGAGTGTATTTGATGCGCGATCAAGGGGTGGAGAGGGGTGAATGGGGTATTTTGAGGTTTGGGGAGGACGGACAGGAAAGCGATGTTACAGTGAGGAAATTGTGTTTGGGGAATGGCTGGTCGGGGCGCAAGAGAACTTGGTTGAGGTTTAAAAGATGTAGTGAAGTATTGAACTGGGATCGATTTATCGGTGGAAAATCGATATATTGGAGATTGACAATCTGTAGAATGACTAGTTTTGACTAGATACAGGAGAGTGATTCCATAAAAAACAGAGGGAATGGGTTCCCTAGCTATATTCCTGATTTCCAGCCCACCATGTGATTTACCCCGCACTTACTTGGTGGTGGGAACGATTTACCAATCTGATTCCTGAACGTACGTTTACGGAACGTAATCGAATAGCTATACTAATAAACGATTAGTGTACTCGTATGTAAGTAATACCCAATAATCGGACGAACTAAATTAGTGATTAAACCTGGAGTGGAAGGAATGGATACTAGCCAAGCTAGCTAGTTTAATACGCCTCCTCCTTACAGTCGAGGTTTGACGTTAGTAAGGCTAATAATACCTAGCTTTAAATATAGTAGTTCAAAAGCGGGTCTAGCCAATAATTTAGTAAGAATATCGGCTATTATTTCCTATATAGGAACGTATTTGAGTATAATATTCTTGGTATTAATATAGTTCCTAATAAAATAATATCTAATATTAATATACTTGGTTTTCTGAGAAAATCGTATGTTAGTAGCTAAATCAAGAGCTCCCTAAGTGTCCGTTTTTAGCTCGATTAGTTCTATAGGAATCGATATTTCTTTAAATAGTTGCTTTAGCTATAGGGCTTCTTTGACTACCGGAGTAAGGGCAATATACTTTGCTTCTATAGTAGCAGTTACTATAGTTTTCTGTTTAGTACTAGCCCAGCTAATTACTCTACCAAATAGGGTAAAAACCATACCGGAGGTTGATTTACGGTCCTATAAATCGCCTCCATAATCGGTATCTGAGTACCTAATAAGTCCTTTAGATAAAGCATTATATAGAATGCCTATATTAAGTAATCCCTTAATATATTACATTATACGCTTCTATATAGAGCTATAGGAGGCTTTAGGACAGGAATTGGAACGTCCCAAATACCTAGCGGCATAGCAAAAATCAGGTCTTAATACTAGGGATAGCTATATAAGTAATCCCGTATAATTCTAATATTCTGTAATATTAATATCTTTCTCTTCTAGAACTATAGCTTGAGCTATTAGTATAGAAATAGGGATAGAACCTTCTATTTAATACCTTTGGAGTATATTTATATGTGAGGTATTTATTAGTAAGTAATAAGACAATAGAATAAATTAGTATATTATAAAACCATAGTATTAAATTCAGTACAGAACTAATCTCTGTCTCTCCTATAAGGTCCAGGGAAGCCCTCTCTAAATAGGAGGCCCCGATGGCATATATATAATTAGTAATTTATAAGCCTAATATATATAATATAAATAGTAGTTAGTTGGGATATTAAAGGGCTACCGAACTCCCTAATTAATATCTGTAATATCCGAGGTTTATTATATGCCCTTAAGTTATATATAACCCTGTATATATTATAACTATACCCCCCTTCTAGGATCTTATTCCTAAGATCTATTAATCTATCCTAGTAAATATTTAATTAATTATTTATTTAATTAATATAAACTTCTAGTATCTTGGGAGGTGGTTTTGCTAATATAATCTGGATAATAGATATAAAAATCGTCTAATTAGATCGGGGCTAAGTAAGTAAGAAGGAAGGGTAATTATATCTCAGATATAGGGGCTAGCTAGTAATTACGATTTTATTTGGGATCTGAGTATTCTAATTAGCTTAATCCAAAATACTAAGGTATTATCCTATAAAACTAATACTATCTATTAGATCTCGTATTAGAATAATCTAAATAGCTATATAGAAAGTATTTAATAAATATTCATATAAGAAACCCATATAAATGTTTCTGAGGTCCTAGAGATTATTTACAGGCTCCTGAAAGTATATATTAATTAGTTATACTAGTTTCCGATTAGAACTAATATGAAAACTAGTAATTAATCCAGGTAGTTCTCTACCTCTATAAAAGGACCTCTTTATATTACTATATACTCTTTTCCTTTCTAATAATTATATATATAACTTTTTCTATTATTACTTTCTAGCCTCTTTTTCTGCCTTTTTCTAAGTCTTCTTTAATTATTTTTAATTAATTTCATAATATCTTCTTCTAGCTTTATTATCTATTTCTATAATAATAAATATAAAGGTAACCTTATAGCCTTCTTTCTTATTACTAGTAGATACTTGAAATATTTCAAGTATTTACTTATTAATTCCTTTACCTTATATACTATAGTACCTAATAAGAAGAATTATAACTATTATAATAAGAGTTCTAAGTCTTATATATTAGTAAGTTCTTTAGCTTTAATATTTATTAAAACTAATATAATTTCAGATTTCTTACTACTTATTAGAGGCTTACTAGTTCTGGGAAAATACTATTATAACCTTTAAGAAATTTCTTAAAATATATCCTAAATAGTATTATACTAATAAGAATAATATTATTAATTAGGTTTTTGAAAACTAGAAAAATACTAATAAGCTTCGGAATTCTTCTTCCTGTTTTAATAAGATAGATAATAATATTACTTAAATTAGTATCCTAAAAATAAGTTTTTTCTAATATATTTAGGTACTTACTAATTCCTTAAAGAAATACTATAATATTTACTTTTAAGGTATTAATCTTATTACTGAGCTTATTATCGAGATTACTAAATAGTCTATTATTAGTATTTTAAATACTAATAATATAATACTTATAGCTATTCGGGACCTAATTTTAGAAGTTCGGGCCTTTTATAAGATATATATAGCTATTATAAGTTCCTTACTTATTTCTTTTAATATTCTTAATACTAATATTATTATAGTATAACTATATCTTATTAAGAAATAAGTAAATTCCGGAAAGTATTAGCTAATTCTTTACTAAGTCCTAAATAAAGCTAGTATTTAATATTCTTACTTTAGAAATTAGGAATTTATAGGAATTAGAGTTTATTTATTTAAGATATCTATAACTAGTCTATTTATAATAAATCTTTCTTAATTCTAAACCTTTTTCTAATAATTTAAATATAATTCTTATAAGCCTTAATAAAATCCTGGAAAACCTTTATAGATAAAAAATCTAGAAAAAGAATATCTCTATTATTATTCTAGGCCTTTTCTTAGCTATTTAGGTCTTCTTTTTCTTTTAAATAGCTTTTTTCTTAGTAGTTCAGAATTCTTTTTAATCTTAAAAGATTATTAAAAGATAATTTTGGATTCTAAGCTATAGTTTCAGTTATATAATTTCAGAAGTTCCTTGAAATTTTTAAAATTAGGGAAAATAAATAACCAGGTATTATAATCTTTAGGCTAGGCTTTCTATTTAATTAAATATTATTACTTCTTACTTCTACTATCTTATTAGTAATTAATAATAGCTTTTACTTTTTATTCTTATTCTTTATTATTATCTACTAATTCCGGAAGTTTTCTAGAGAAATATAAATATGGCTTTTAATTCTTTTTTACTATATATTTTTTAAGAAAAGAAATATAGAAAGTTAAATATAAATAATTATATATATTTAGTAATTCTAATTTATATACTAAATTATTAATATATTTAAAGATCCTAAATAGATCTATAAATTTTAGCTTAAGCTTTCCTATCTTAAGTTTAATATTTCTTATTAATAATATTATCTAGGCTTCTTTAAAATAGTATTTAGCTAACCGGTACTTATTATAATAAGTTTTCCGGATATTTTATATATAATATTATAAATCCTTAAGCTTTTTTTACTTTATTTTAAGGATTTCTAGCCTCTTATATATAGCTAGTATCTCTTCTATAATCCTATTCTTAGAATTTTATAGAAGTTAAAAATAATATCTATAATATATATAAAAAGATATATTCTATAAAACCTAATATTTTAAGTTATTATATATAAATTCTATAAAAGATAACTTTTTAAACTAGTTATTTTTTTGAATATTATAATAATATCTTAGGTAATATTCTAGGGCCTGATTCTGTTTTTCTATCTAATTATTTATCTAAGAATAATAAGCTATACTTAAATACTATTTATATATTAAATAAAAGCAGAAAGCAAACTAGAACTAGCTAGTAAATACTATTTCTTAGTCAGAAATAATTCTATTAGAGGAGCTAAAGATTAAGAAAATATATTTCTATATAATTTTAGTAAGCTCCAGAAAGTTAATAGTCTTATAATATATAATATATCTTGCTATTTTAGAGTATTAGTTAATAACTATAAGAATTATATTAAAATCGGGACTTCTTACTAGGTTCTTATATAGTAGTAGACCTATAATAAAATTTATAGAGATCTTATTCCAGGGTCTCTTAAGCTATAATAAACTACTAAGTAAACTATATAGTAAATACTTCTTTACTTTAACTCTCTAGTAAATATTATATTTTTAATAATAATTACGAATATCTCTTTCTATATTTTCCTAATACTAGGACTTTCTAAAGAGCTCGAGAGTTTTCTTTATTCTATAGTATCTAGTTATTAGGTTATTATAATAAAGCTTTATAATTTCTTAATATAAAGCAGGATTATTAGATATAATAATTCTTAAATAGTACCTAAGTAAGCCTGAATTATTTTTCCAGATTTCTTTTCCCTTAGTATCTTTCTTATTAAGCCTCTATTTTATAATATTCTAATATTAAGAATTATTTCTCTAAGTTACCTAAATAATATCTAGAAAGGATTTAGATAAAGGGGCTAGTACTATAGCTTTTTTAGTAGCTATATATATCTATATATAGGGAATTAGATATTTATAATTATCTAATTCAAAAACTCAAGAAACTAAGAAGTTTTTAGTTCTATTAAGTAATATAATTATAAATATTCTTATTATCTTAGCTATAGTAATAGAGCCTTTAAGGCATTTCCCTATATCTTACTTCTTAACTAATTTTATAATTAAGGAATCTATAAGATAATCTATTTACTTGTCTTATAATAAATATTTCTTCTTAGCTATTACAGATATAGTAAGTATTAAATAATGCCTATTTTAAAAAAAGAACTCTTTAGATATTTATAAGGACCTCTGAATTATAACTATAAAAGCTTTCTTTAACTTATTCTAAAAGGTTAGAAGCCAAGTTATATTAATAGAACCTTTTTTATAATTAGGTCTTCTATTAGGTCTATTTACTGGATTTGAGGCGCCTCTATAATAAATAATATTAAAATTATATATTATAAGATATATTATCTAATATACTTAATAGCTCTCTAGATATTTTATTTCTATAAAGTATTAGAGGTTATTATAGTCTATAATAACCTTAATTATAAACCTGGACTCTTTAAGGTAATAGTACTAATACTTAAAGGCTTTAATAATTATAAGTAGCTCCTTATTATA